CAGCAATTGACAAAAGAGATATTGTATTGCATAGTCGTGATGATAATTTGCAAAAAATTTCAGAGTTACACAGATCTTATGACAGCTTACAATATCCTTTGATGCTATGTCGTGGAGAAAATGGTTATGCCATTAATATTTCTCAAGTTGACCCAATCGGTGGTACACCTCTGCGTAAAACAGTGTCATGTATGAACTACTATTGCTACCGTATAATGACAAGACGTAACAATTTCAACACTTTGCTTAGATATGGAATGTTAACAAACCAATACTTGGTATAGATCAATATGCGAAAATTGAATCTGAGAGATTGGCCTACATCCGTAATAATCAAACTAAATTGAGAGCCGAAAATTACGTTCATCTTCAGGATGCTTTACAGGCGAATGAACACCGCAACGGCATTGGGCAGTTGGTTATACTACCTTCATCATTCACAGGTGGACCTCGATATTTACACGAAAAATCGCAAGACGCCATGACTTACGTCAGAAATTTACGGCAAACCTGATTTATTTATAACTGCAAACATGTAACCCAAATTGGCCGGAAATCAAAGAAAATATTAACACCAATTTAACTCCACAAGACAGATACGATATAGTTAACAGAGTCTTCCATTTAAAAGTACAGAAACTCCTGCACCTAATTAACAAGTCTCATATATTCGGTCCGCCCGCGCTGTCATATGTACACAATAGGATGGCAGAAACGTGGCTTGCACATGTACACCTGCTGGTGTGGTTAGTGAACAAAATTAGACCAAACCAAATTGACAGGGTTATTTCAGCTGAATTACCGGATAAAAAGATGAAGATCCTATCCTGTACGAAATCGTAAAGAAACATATGGTACACGGCCCTTGCGGGACTTTAAACCCGAATTCTCCATGTATGCGAGATTCTAAATGCAGCAAAAAATTTCCGAAGTCGTTCCAAAACTCAAACAAAGTACTAGTGATGACGGATATCCCAAATATCGTCGACGATCGCCAGAACAGGGTGGGCAAAATGGTACCGTCCGAAACCATGATATTGATAACCGATGGATCGTTCCTATAATCCGCTCCTTTTGAAAATTTTGATGCCCACATCAACGTAAAGTTGTGCAATTCAATAAGTCAATTCAATATGTTACTAAGTACCATTAATAAAGGCAGTGATCAAGCACTTTCAGCATACAATCACCAAATGAAGTGGGAAAAAATCAAAAAAAATATCAGTCTGGACGTTACATCTGCAGCTCTGAAGCTGTATGGAGGATTTATCATTCGAAGTGCACGACCGGGCTCCACAATTGTTCACCTTGCAGTTCATTTAGAAAATGGACAAAGAGTATATTTCACTGAGAACAATATACAAGAAGTTGTTAATAACCCGCGGGATACAACATTGACAGCATTCTTCAAGTTATGTGCTCAAGATGATTTCGTGAAATTCAAGATTCTGAATGTGCTGACAGTGATTCTGTCTCGACAGTTACCAGTAGTACGTACGGTAGAAGACATATGACAGAGTTCCAAGTTATAGAACCAGAGTTCTAAAACTTTTCAACGGCGAAACAAGGTACTGCGGTTGATGTTTCCCCAAGGAAAAAAAAAACGGATGCTCTTGGCAGAGTCTACGTGATTCATCCCAACAACAGCGAATGCTTTTATCTGAGAATGTTACTGCATATGTAAAAGGCCCGACATCCTTTGCACACCTAAGAACTGTACAAGGTGTTGTTTACAATACTTATCAAGCAGCATGCAAAGCTATGGGGCTCTTGGAAGACGATTCTCACTGGGAAAAGACATTATGGGAAGCAGCAGTTTGTAGTTCAGCTATATCATTAAGATATTTATTTGCCGTAATAGTAGCGTTTTGTCAAGTAACTGATTCTGTTAATCTATGAATAAATTTCAAGAAAATATGGCCAGTGATATATTCTGATTCGGCGACGGCGAGAGTTTAAACTCAGATGATGTACAATATGATCAAAACATATTTGACGAAGCATTATTTGAATTGAACAAAGTAGTGCAATTACTTTCGGGTAAATCGATCAAGGATTTGGGCTGCCGATGCCAGCTAATACTACTAACTCAGATTTAACTAACAGTGCCGAATACACAAGAGAAAACATCATACGATCAAACGAGACTTTTACAAAATATAGCTCAGATGAGCCACGATTAAACATCGATCAGAAAAAAGTATTCACTACATTACTATCAACAATTGATAACAATGAAGGGAAATTGTTTTTCCTTGATGCCCCAGGAGGTACAGGAAAAATATTTTTAATCAATCTGCTTTTAAAAAAAAGTGAGATCTACCGGAAAAATTTCGTTAGCTGTTGCGTCATCCGGCATTGCCGCTACGCTTTTGGAAAGGAGGCCGAACCGCACACTCTACATTCAAGCTCCCGCTGAAAATCGGCCACCGATGAATAATAACAGCGTCTGTAGTGTTTCTAAACAGAGCAATACAGGAAAATTAATGCGTGACTGCTCATTAATAGTCTGGGACGAAGCTACCATGTCAAACAAGACGTCTGTGGAAGCACTGGATAGGACAATGCGCGATTTGCGCAACCAAAAATTCACCTATGGGTGGATGTACAATTCTGTTCTCAGGAGATTTCCGTCAAATCCTACCAGTTGTGACTCGAGGAACACGTGCTGACGAAATAAATGCTTCCCTAAAAAGATCCAACCTTTGGCCACATGTCAAATAAAATTAGAGCTTAAAACTAATATGAGGGTTTCGTCATCTTCACGTGAGAACAGGCTATTCCAGAGATTCTGCTAAAAGTTGGCAATGGAGAGTTAACACAAAGTGAGGGAAGATTAACCTAGAAAACCTTTGTGTTTTGATAGACATCCAAGAGTTAGTTAACAATGTCTATCCTGACATTGATAACATAAGTTATAAGACAATATCTTGGTTTAAAGAAAGAGCGATTCTGTCACCAACTAACGAATAAGTAGATAAGGTAAATAGCTTGATTCTTTCAAAGATTAATGCGCCGACGAAAATATACTACTCGATCGATACTGCTCTCGATTTGGAAGAAGCTGTTCATTTTCCTACAGAATTTCTAAACTCTTTAAACCCGTTTGGATTCCCTCCTCACAAAATGGTGTTGAAAGTAGGTTGTCCTGTTATTTTATTAATCCACCTAAACTTTGCAATGGCACGCGTTTGCTGGTAAAATCACTGAAAACTTTCATAATAGAGTGCACAATACTCACAGGATGTGGTACCGGAGAAGATGTATTGATTCCTCGAATCCCTCTGATACCATCGGATTTACCCTTCCAATTTAAAAGCTTACAGTTTCCGGTAAAGACATCTTTTGCAATGACCATTAATAAATCGCAGGGTCAAACCTTCAACGTTGCAGGCTTAGATTTGAGCGTTGACTGTTTTTCACATGGCCAACTGTATGTCGCTCTTTCAAGAGTAACCTCTAGAGGAAACATGTTTGTATTGTCTAATGACAAGAAAGCTGTGAACGTTGTATATAAAGACATTCTGTAATACATTAATTGTTGTAAAAATAAAATAAATAGGTAAAAATATAAAAAGTAAATAAGTAAAAATGTAGTGTATGAATTAGATAAGATAGCAGGAAATCTTCATGGTATAGGGAAAGGGGAATTGTTTTACTCCAAATTTAACGCGTGCGGCCCACGGGCAGCAATGAATAAATCAAAACTACTGGATCGATTTTAATCATTTTTTCAGTGAGTGACATAGGCTATATATTTTATACCCGTGCGAAGCCGGAGCGGGTCGCTAGTTTTTTAATAAAATTTGGAGCCATTTCTTGTGTTTGTAAGTGTTTATATCACACACTAATGTTGTTGTTCTGAATGTGTGTTCTCAATGCTGTATTTCTGAATTCAGCGCAGTTCGAGTTGTTAAGAATATTTCGTTTAGAATTTGAAATAGTGGCAAAAGCTCCTGATGGATCTTGGAGACACTTACAGATTTCTCGTTAACTTTGGGATATTCTTAAATTTCCACAAAACGTTTATATGAAACCCTAAAAGCGAGTTTTCTTGAAACTTCCAGGTGTGCTAGGCAACCCTATAATACGCCTGCATTAGGGCCGAGAAATTAGTTCAGTGATTCAGTTAGAGTCACGAAACTCTGTTAAATGTTCCTGCGGATTTGTATTTTAGACTTTGGAAGCGATTTTGATGATCTGCGGTATTCTTCGCATATTAAGGAGAATTTGCTTTATCTCTATACTTCTTCTTGAGCTATATACAGGGCGATTCAGAATTCATCATCAATATTTGGTGGGGAGGTAGGGAATAGGAAAAGAAGGAGATTTCACATAGGAAAGTATGGGCGCAGACGAATGCATGGTGGTGTAGAGGGCGCTGTGTGTACACAACTTCCATACCATAAGCACAGCTGTTTGACGTGTGCAGCCAGTCGTCATTCGACTAGGTAGATGACTTTGCAGAAGTCACATAAACCGGTATACGTGGAATGAACTTGCAGATATGCATGTAAATGCCAGGCATATTCCAGAAGGTCCGGTTGTCCATGCAACGCCGTTGTGAGTCATGCATTCTAGCCCATGGTCAGCTGTTCGAGCACCTCTTGTAAGTCTGTAAAACTGATGCAAAGAAATGTTACATGTAAGATAATAAATGTTTTTCCCCTTACTACTTCCTTTTTATGTGTTCTTTCCATCATTGAACTGGGGTCATTTTGCCCTACTACATGGCATATGCGCCCATGCATTCCTATGTGAAATCTTGTTTTCCTATTCCCTACCTCCCCACCAAATACTGATGATGAATTCTGAATCACCCTGTATACTTGTTATCTTGCTGCATGACCTGTAATTTTTTTTTAATAAAGTGTCAATTTCTTCCTGTTCATCTGGTGTAGTTATTAAAGAGATTTTTACGAAGTCATAGAGCACAACAATATGAGTCCCCGAAGCATTGTGAAAATTCATTTGCCAGAGACAAAAGAATAAAGGCTTACCCTTTGACATAAATATCAGACATTTTCTCTCCCGTGAAGAAAGCATCATCTTCCAAAACTACATCATCCGTATTCCATATGATGACTCGTAGTTCGTAGCTGCAGAAGAAAAGAAAATGGCAGAAAAATAAACTCTAAAAGTCAATGAATTGTTCCACTTCCAATCTCCTGACAATACTTCAGTCGTCACAGAGATTGAATCTCATCACAATTCATGGGTTCAATCACTTCTGTTACTTCTAGATTTTTTTAAAACTCGCTACGGATAACAAATGGGATTTCAGAAGTCTCAAATCTATTAAAGAAGCCTTGAAGATATTGTCTAAGGAATTTTAAATAATAGAATACTAGAGCGATTACAAAGAATGGAGTTAAACTAAGTTAATAGGAATTCTTCCATTTTTTCAAATATTTTAAGATGGCAGAGTCCTTGTTGAAGTTCAGCAAGTTTTAACGTTTTCAATAAAATTTTAATTTGGGTCTTCTAGAATAAAAACTAGGTAAAAAATTTCAAAGAAAACAAGTTTAAAAATCTAGTTAATACATGGATCATAGATATACAGATAAATAATGCATAGTTTTATCCATTATTTATATATCCATAATGTATATATCCATTATTTACATAGATAATGCATAGAAAATACATTGTTGCATTTCTTAATTAATAGAATATGCATACTTCTAATTCTTAATTAATAGATTATGCATAATTATATAACACATTGGTCTATTGTAGCACATTTTAGGATATATCTCACGCATTTTTTAAATATATAGATTATGTACAGGGTGGTCATAAAAACTTTCCCGATATATGAACCCCTAGCGGCCTACACGCTCAACCAATCGAAATGAAATTTCAGTTATTGTTATTTGAAGACGTGCGCTCGAGCTTGGGATGTTCTAAAACAATAATGTTCTCACGGTTTCGGTTACAGTGAAAGAATTTAGAAATTTTCTAATGACAACTATTACTTTTTCCCTACTCAAACTGATCAGCGCAATGAAAAACTATAAATGGTGTTGGAACGATACAGGTATGATGAAAATTGTCGTTATAACATATTAAGAGCATTGTAAAGGACCAGTGATAACACAAGACAGGATTGGAATTAAAGTTTCCAATGTGTCATCCTTCGCAGACGATAACGCATTGCATGCCGGAGATTGTTGATAACAATGACGAACGTAAGATCTCAGGAGGAATCTGTATTATTTTATATTTTATGGCATCTTTCAGTTCTGACATATCTCGTGGATTTAATGTATACACTTTAGATTATAGAAAATCTCAGAACCAGAAATCCACTGGAGTGAGGTCGGGGGATAGTGGTGGCCACAGAACTGCAAAATTAAGGGTGATAATTCTATCTCCAATTGAATTGAAAGATGCCACAAAACGTGAAGCTACACAGATTCCTGCTGAGATGTTACATTCGTCATAGTCGTCAGCCAATCTCCCGCATGCAATGTGTTGTCGTCTGAGTAGATGAGCACGTTGAAAGCTTATAATTTCAAGAAAAGGTTTTTTTTTTCCCCCCTTTCCTTCTTGTGTTGTCATTTGGTCTTTACAATGCTCTTCTTTGCAAACGTTTTACGTCAGCAGTTTTCGTCGTACGTGTATCGTTCCAACGTCATTTATGGCTTTTCAATGTGCTGATCGATTTGCACGGGAATTAAGAAGACGGTGTTGCCATTAGAAAATTTCGAATTTTTTTCTCTAAAACCGTAACCGTGAAAACTCTATTGCTTTAAATCATCACAATCTGAAGCGCATACCTTTAAATAAACTGTACCTGAAATTTCATTTTGATTGGTTACCCAGATAGGCCGCTAGCAGTTTACAATATTTCGCAGAAATTTTTTGACCACTTTATATATTTTTAATGTTTTTTTTTCTACAGGGTTATTTTTAAACTGCTATTAATGGCTTTTATTATTACAATGATTATTATTATACACATAAGAATTAGATACTCTTACAAAAATTAAAAATGAATTTTGTTTTATTTTATTTAAACATGGTTACATTTATTTATTCTGAAGTGCGAGAAGTTGCAGTTGAATACACACAGTCAAATTTTCATTCGCTTCTCTTAGCAGAGTTATTATAAATTGTAGGTCATAATTTGCTTTTCTGTCGACTCCGTGAATGTTTGAATGAGCAGATCGCTTTTAATTTTGGCAGATAATAAACAGAAATAAATTATATACTTGATATAGGCTTCTTTACAAAACTAAACTGGATTATGAAGGATTAGTCGTGTTTGCATAAAATCAAGGGGAATGTATTTCGAGTGTGTTATTTTAACGATTTATTTAACGAGACATACACTTTAGATTAGGTGGTTTATCGCTTTTTTAAACCAGTCTTTGCTAGCCTTACGTAGTTTTCTTTTGGATTTTACTTAAAAATGGATTTATCCTGTTTTATTACAGTTTTCTGTGGTTTAGTTTTCCTAGAATCGGCCCAGCGGACATTTCCCTGCTTGCATTTGTATCTACTTGTACTTTCCAGCTGCTTGCTCATAATCATATTATAAGGTAGTGGTGCCCAACCTTTGGCCTATCGTGAGCACATTTCCAAAACATCAACATTTTTGTTAAACATATTTCCAATCTTATGTGATATATCTGAAATATTAATTTCGGCAAATGGATTTGAGACACTAATAATTTGTTGAACTTTATGGAAATCAAAGAAGCGGAGTTCAAAATTATTTTTCAGTGCATTTAGGTTTTCCGAGTATTTCTCTGTTTCAATTCCCTTGTGGTTATTAACATGGCATGATAAATTCTGAAAAATGGCTGAATTGTTTTTTCTTTCGTTTGATTCTTCCACAAATTTAACTTTATCTGAAAAGCAGTTACAGTCCCAGTCAATTGAAAAGTTTTTTTTTCCCCTGGAATCTTCGTTCAGTTTGTTCAGTTTCGTTGTTATATCCGTGAGAAAGTACAGATCGGATAACCAATTATTACCGTCCAATTTCTTATAACTTTCGTTTCCGGATTCCAAAAACTGCTTTATTGGCGATAAAAGTTCTACAAATCGTTGAATTACTTTTCTCCGGCTGAGCCATCTGACATCGGAATGAAGCAATAAGATTCCATGTTCCAATAAGTTCATCAGTCAACAATCAATTATTTTATAACGTCCTGCAAGATATCTCTTATGACTATAAATGCTTACCATATTTGAACAATAAAGAAATATAAATGAATAGTTATTTTAAAAATATTTTTTGGTCATGGTACCTAATCGGGCTGGCGAGCACAAGGTTGGGCACCACTGTTATAAGGTATCGTTTTAGTTTCTTATCAGGTATTTTATGTTAAACCTCTTACCTATCATCCCGATTTCCATTTTCCATCCAGAATGTAAATTTCTAGCAGATGTGATATTCAAATAAGGTAGAAAGAAGAGAATACGTAAAGGAAGGTAGAATCGGAGCGTGTTTTGGCTGTTGGAGGCCACTTTGCTAATTTGATTATCTTGCTAGTATTCTGCAGCGTTGCGGTATTCTTTCCACTAGGCTTGTTACGCCAGACTGAGAGCACAGCCAGCTTGCGTGTTTTTCTAATTGTGCAGCTGTTAGGCTGACTTACGTTTCTTAATTTTAGTTAACCCATTATCTTTGATTTAAGCCATATAAAGCAAAGAGTGGTGTCGTCTCTTAGCTTTAATTTGAGTCAAATAAAAGTTAACAGACAAATAAAAGAGTCCTCTGCATCCTTTCCCTTTTTCTGTGGTACTTATAAGACACAGTGATGTTTCGCTACTAGTCTCTACAACGTTTCGTACGTTGTATGTTATCTAAGCAGACAAAACGTCACAATGTATTTCGGAATTTCTGTTTTCATTGATACAAACAATCCTTTCTTTTACTGTTTTTCTCGCTCAGTATCATGAGTACTAAAGTATATGAGTTATTCTCAAAAATGATGCCACAATTATTCGAAAAAAAGTAATTTTCTTTTTCTACTGCTTGTTGGAGAAAAGAACTCAGATTTTTCACCTAATTCGTTGAATTTCTTCACGGTGCATACTTAATCTCTACTAGATCCCAGAATCCACTATAAGAATATCAACATTCGAAATTTCAGAATGAAACTCCTTTGTAGGAGATCTCATTCCCCGAGATTTTCGTAAGATTTTCATGCTATCCTGCAGATGACTTTAGTTACTGTTCACTTGATACTTTCTTCCACAGAATTGATTCCCTTTTTACAATCAACTCTCGAATTAACGGATTAATATCAGAAATGACTGCAGTTAACACCATATCACGGTTAATTTAATTTACCTGTATTTTCAAGTAGATGGAGATATCTGATTATGTTCTAATCGACAATTTTGATGAAATTTTTTCTAAAAGTTTTTCTCAAATCACCAATTCATGAAATTTTTTTCAAAAAGAAAAATCAACTCTCGATTAAACGGTTAATCGATTAACGATCGATAAACGATAAATGGTCGATAATCGATAAACGGTCTCGATTAACAGAAACCACAGATGACCGCGGTTAGCACCATATCACGGTTAATTTACCAGTATTTTCAAGCAGCTCCAACTACGTTCTAATCGTCAAATTTGATGAAATTTTTTCAAAAAATTTTATTATTTTAAAGCCTTATATATACATTACCCTTCCCATAACTACTTTTATTTTGTCTATTTGGTCATTAGAAGCAGACACAGACTAAATAGCTTTAAAAATGATGATTTTTAATTTGAATACTTTTGGTGATGCTTAAAAGATGATTTTGAGCCTTTCTATTTCTAAATTCTCGGGAATGAGAATAGTTTTGCAATTTAATTGAAATTTTTATTAACATTTTCTTTCCCTTGTGTTTGTGCTTTCCTTTTCCTTGTGTTATCAAACCTATTTTTTGAAAAATTTGATTATTTTCAACGTTTTCGTTACGGGGAAAAAAAAAAAAAAAAAAAAAAAACTTTTAACTTTAAATATTACTACAGTAATTTTTTGAAATTTTCCACAAATTTTCTATGAAATATTGTGAATTAAATGGAATTAGGTTAGGTTTTAGTATATATCTAAAATGTTTTCAGACAATTTTGTTAATAAAAAGAGAGAAGTTAAACGGAAGTATAGTGCGTGTATTCAAATAGGTATATTTAATAGACATTTTATCACTTACATTTTAGTCCATTTAGTTTTTATACCTTAATTAATATAAACGACAAAAATGAAAGAGAACGTAAATAGAAATCCTGAAATTTAACACATTTTTTAATCCAAACTGTAACAAACAACCAAAAATTATATACTTTGATAACATGTTTGTCACCTGTTTCTGTCATTTCGAATTGTATTCTGCTAAATAACATACGTAAGTAATAGATTTATTTGTGCTATTTTCAAAATTTGTTGAAAGTAGTTAGGTACCTGAATATGAAGAATAAATTCATTTGGTAGCATAAATGAAATCAGAATTCAAAATTTTCTCTCTTTGTCTTTTTCTTGGAAGCCGTTTTTGTTTGTTTGTTTGTTTCTTCCTATTTCTGTCTATATTTTCTTCTCATTTCACAGTGCATATGCTATTTATTTTAATAGAAATCAATGTGAAATTGAAGATCATTGGCTGTACACTTAATTTATTTTTAAGATTCAGTAATATACTTTTAATGGATGACTTTACAAATATTTATAGATTCCGAATTACATACTGTTCTAAACAAATTAAACGCCGAGATACGACTATATCAGTCGCTATCACTACTGTTTGTGCTTCCATTTTCCTTTCCCTTCATGTATTTTTCAATAAACCGTTTTGTTTTACGCTGAGGGCTTGAGAAAGAATTAGACATGTCCCAGGTAATTCGTACCGGATAATCGAGAATTGATTCTAATTATATTTTTATTTTCCAGTCCCCTCTTCTTAGAAAAACACTCAATGTAATTCAGTTTTATGGGTACTTTTTATGGTATTAGCACTTGTTAGAATGTATGTTTTAAGAATGAACTTGCATACTTAGATACTTGCAAATATGGCAAGCATCTTGTCTTCTCACTCTTCATAAAGTGAAGTTCCATGAGTTCATTAACTTTAATATTATCACGTTTTAATCAGAGCCATATATATTTCAGAATTTATCTAACAGTTAAAATTAAAAACACCGAGCATCACAGGTGAAAGCATCAATCACATTTTAACATCAATCACAGGTGAAAGCAAAAATGCAAATGCAAATATACGTACCTGTTGGGCTTCCTTGGTGATATATCTGTTGGAGGCTTCGGCAATGGCATATCCATTGCAAACATGTCTACCCACATTTCTAGTTTGCCCTAGAAAATTAGAACCAGAACGAAAAATTTTAGAAATATAGCTGATATAGAATTCAGACCTATCAAATAAGAAATGTAACTATTGGCCACGAAATATGATTACAGATGGTCAAAACATTTTGATAAATTCAGGAAAACGTAATTTGTATTTATGGCATCACCTTAAAGTATATTACTTCAGAATATGCTTAGTGACATTCATATAAGTGTACATAAGCGTATACATAATTTACAAAGAACATATAGTACTTTGTATTTAATCTCGCAGAAATCTTTAATCTTGCTATTTTTTTCTTTGAATGCTTAGTTATTCAAAACTTTTTAGTAGAACCGACCGTAGTATCCATGCTTTTCTTCAGACTACGAATAAATTATTAATAAAAGTTGACCAGCTTCAGATTATTAATCTGCTTTTAAATATCCCGATGGTGTTTTTTGTGCTTGTAGTTTTTAACGTAGGATTACGTTCCTCCATAATGGTCCGATTAGAACGCAAAAATTAAAATGCTATTTGAGGTGCCAATATTTGAACTACCAAATATTCAGCTATCTTAACAACACGGCCATTGGTAGGACTGAACAGATGGCATTTCAAAGCACATTGATTTCTTAAGGTAGTACGAATAATATTGTCTTGTTGGAAAGTGTTGTGATGGATAATTTTATTGTCTGAAGAAATGTATCTATTTGGGGGCTGTTTATTGAGAAGTACTGGAAAGGAAATACATTAACCACGTATCTAAGTTTATAAGGTATTTCTCCCGTCTTCTTAGCATGCCTTCTTTGTGAAGTGGTCAGCACGCTCGACGCGTATTCGAGAGGTCCGTGGTTCGAGTCGCGGCGAGGGCATTGCTCAGTTTTCATTGTTTTGCTTCTAAATATTCCTAATGTCTCTACAGTGGCGCCCGAACTAAAAATGGTGGTGGATAGATGATGATTCTCCGCCACCAGGATTTGGCGATTGGGTCTCTCAAGTCGCCCTTTTAAAGGGGGAGTATATAAGTATTTATCCCGCCTTCTTAGTGTAGTGGTCAGCACGCTCGACGTGCATTCGAGAGATCCGCAGTTCGAGTCCCGACGAGGGCATTGTTCATTTCTCGTCGCTCCTGCTTTAAAAAATACCTAATGTCTCTACAAGTTATGCTGTGAAAGTAAATAGATTATTGGACGTGACGTAGTTAAAAAGGGGCGGAGTTAAACACCCAGTAGTATAATTTGTTTTATTTATTACGCACTCCGCCGTCAGATACTTCGTAGCAAGGGAGCCTTGTGGAGGACTTTATAAGGGAAACTGGCTCATATCCATGTTACACACAGGGAAAATTTCGAAAACGCAAATGCAGACAGCCCGTTCGCTGAGACCCGAACCCCCGGACCCAACTAACAGTGTTCAGCGGCTTATACCACTCTGCCGCTGGTGGGCTAGTAGTACAGTTTGAGCATCATCTTTTTCGTTATATGTGAATAAAGTTGCCTTAAAATACAAAATACGCATTAATAAAATAAAACATTTTTTTCTTATTTCGATGTAATACCTTACAGTCATAGATAGCAATTCAGTATACCTTTTTTTCTATTACCTAAAATTCAGTTCAGTAACTTTTCATGTATAATATGACAGAAGGTACAATCTAAGATACAATGCTCTAATGCTTACCTGCTCTATGCCAGGCTTATCTGGATGATACAGAGGGCGTGTTTCAACGTGCTCTGGAACCAACTTGTATTCAGCTTTCGGAATCTCATGCCACCGATGGAGAACCGCTAGAGCCATGTGCTCTTCATTCAATTTATCTACACAGAATAATAAGTATCTTAATTTAGAAGTCAAGCAACAAAAATCAGCGTTATATTTTTCAAATTTTCACAGGACTAGTTTTGATGGTTTTACCGAACCATCATCCTCAGCTGCAAAAGCGCAAATGAACGAGATAAGATATAATGACTAGACAAGATAAGAGAAGAAAGCCTGGACAATAGATAAGCTACTGGCGCCATCTCTTGATGAAACCAGAATTAAGATTTAATTTCTTTAAAGGCGGGAGGCAAAGATGAATTGGAATTAGGGTCGTTAATTAGAACTGAAAGATTTTTTTTTGAATGTGAAATGCCTCTAGAAAATCCAGTTCACCAATGAAAGATGTTTTTTCTTCCAAAAAGAAATTATGTTTTAATTCTGGTTTCACCAACAGATGGCGCCAGTATCTTATCTGCTGTCCAGGCTTTCTTATCTAATCATTTTATCTTATCTTATCTCGTTCATTTGCGCTTTTGCAGCTGAAGATGATGGTTCGGTAAGACCATCGAAACTGGGCCTGTGGATATTTGAAAATATAACGCTGATTTTTGTTGTTTGACTTCTAAATTAATATTTGTTCGGCGTGTTATTGTATCTTAATTAAAGAAGTATCTTTTTTAAAATAGCCATTTTGATAAACTTCTATAAAATTCCTATAAAAATCTATAATTTAGGCATACTGAAACATCAAACGCATGAACGTTTTGTCAACGCCGATGTATGCAACGACTTACATTGCAAATACAGTGGTACCTCCAATGATACAAGTCCGCTTTGAAATACGTTCAGCTTGGTATCCTATTTGGAGGCGAAAAGTTTTGTTTGGTGTACCGTATATCAAACGTACTGTTGTTTTATAGATTGTATGCCAAGCAAATGCGACTTTTGTTTGGAATATGGCACGAGTTTGATGAATCACAATTCTGCTCATTACACTACTTTACCTCATTACCTCTTTCGAGACAATGACTACCTAAGAGCGTCATTGCTGAACAGTATTCGCCCCCTACCGCTACTATTCAGTAAATAGTCCGAGTTATAAGTCTAAATTTTCACGTGATTTTGCACTTTTTGCGTTAAATATCTTGCGAATTCATTAACAGAGAGCTTTAACTCACTGTTAATGCATTTGTAAAACTGTAAATTTTCTTCTCATTAACTCAAGCAACGAAAGAAATTATTAGGATCACTATGGAGGTGAAAACGGAGTTTGTTGAAGAGTATGGAGATGGCATGAGTATCTGGGACTTGGGTATTGCATGCCGTATGCCGAATACAATAGTATCTACAAGTGTGAAAACCAAAGACGCTATTATATCGGCTAACGTTGCGAAAGAGTTGAAACTGATTACCAGAGAAAGATCAGATACGTGCCTATGGTTCTAAATGCCAATGATTAAGTATTTCAGAGTGCCTATGGTTCTAAATGCCAATGATTAAGTATTTCGGAGTGCCTATGGTTCTAAACCTTGTACCTCCACATCATAAAAATATCGAAGTAGTGAACAGAAATAGGAAAATTACATAAATAGTTAGTTTGATGTAAGCTAAAGGGAGCGACATTAGCGCGAGAGAGTTTAGGTATGGGGGGAATCAAGAAGCCAAAAAAAGTTTTTTTTTTTATTTTTTTTTATTTTATTTATTTATTTATTTATTTGGTATATTATATTTTTATGACATAGATAAAACACAAAAGCAAAATGCAGAGCAGAAAGATTTTAGAAATTGGCTCATTGGCATATGGCACTAAATCAGAATGTAGTAAAGTCTGTGAAAACGCGAGGAAATATCCAAGGCAGAAATTAATTCTGCGGGCATGATGTGATTTTTAAAGGAACAGATTGATAACAGTGACACGTTAGAGCATGTTGTTTTTCATCTGGATCGCAGAAAAACATTTATGTATAGTATTACGTGCAGTGCTGTATTATGTAAAATATACATTTCACCGACTGAATTTGTATTTTAGTATTAAACATTGTTTTCATAATAACAATGGAATTGTTTTATAAGAACAGTTTAATTATTTTTCCGTTATTTCTTATTGGAAAAGTTCGTTAGGTCCAAGATCTGAAGCGGATAAATGACGGAACACAAAGTACCACTGTAGTCTTAAATGCTGCAAATCAGAAATTCTGATTGATATTAAAAAAAAAATTAAAAAAAAGACAACTATTTAAAAAATGTCATATCTGTCACAGAGAAATATGTATTATAGACAATCTTCGAAAATTCTGTGTGTAACTGATAAGATTTAATACGAATTCTGCTGCATGAAATACACAGCTGGAATTTCTTGTAAAAATAATACAATTCAGATAGTAACATTAAATGGTAAAGTAAAATAGCTTATTATCTTCTTTTGACTAAACATAATACTGAAATTCTGTTGTAATTCATTATGTTTAGTGATGTTAAATCTATACAACACAACTCAATTGCAAGTATTTTAGCAAATAATGCACAGAAAATCTATATGCATAGTGTTTTCAAGCGATTTCGATAATTTACTATATAGAGAATGCGAAAGCTAAAAAAACAGCATGCACACTACCTGAAAAAATACCACATACTTTTTGACACGATAAATTGATATAGAAAGCTTCCAAACCTATGTTAACATTGTTAAAAGTTGATTCAAAATTTCAGAATACCAGTTAACATTTCGAAATGTCAGTTTCTTTTAATCAGAAGGAAAAGAAATGAGAATAATTCCGCCTCCTCTGATTACCTTTGGATTTATAGACGAATGATTAATTAAAATATCTCTTGGAATGATCACGATAATTATTTAGGTGAAAAAGCCACAGAAAATATCCAGCATTACTTGAACAATTATTCAAATCTTCTAAATAATATATATATATATTGTAATAATAAATTTCCATTGTCAAGAATACACTTAAAGTTCTAACCGTATGTTCTTTTCATTTTTTAATGGCGACGGTTCTCTCATTTGAAAGTACGTGGAATTAAATCCACAGCTCCCGTAGTCAAGTTGTTTTTTTCCGTTTTTTCTACACGTACAGTTATAGAACGTTCTGGAATTATTTAAAGCGAACTGGATTGGCTGACGTCCATTTCTTGGAAGCTCTGCCTTTCCAGAGGCTATAAAAGGACTCGCAATGGAATATCGGGGGCTTTTTCTTAAATGTCACGATGCAGTAAACTTTTACAAAAAGTTATTCGTAGTTCTTTTTTATTTACTCCGGAGATATGATTTTGTAACTGCTATTTCTCCTGAATAATAATAAATGGATCCTGTTTTTTAAACTTATCGTCTGATACTTTGAGCTTCGACTACGTCTATGATTCTTCACCAATCTATTTATTCCGGACAAAAGCTGGTACATCACATATATATACAGTGTCTCAAAAAAGTGATGGGACACTTGTGCTTTACAAAAAGAAACTGTAATAAAATTAATTAAAAAAACATGTAAAATTTTGTGGGTGTGTTTCATACTTAAATTTAGTAAATTATTACATAACATAAATTTTTTCAAAATATTAAATATTAATTTAATAAAAATACAATTGTTTAGAACGGAGCAAAAAATGGCTCACATAAGTGATGGCACACTACGTACTATGCAACAAAAATCGTCTGAAGTAAGCAATAAAAATATCTTTTGGGGTATTTATTTTTACTCAAAGGCAATTGGCAATAATTTATAAAATCGTCTGCGGTATTTCTCTCCAGTTTGTTTTGGAATTTTTGTGTTTTTTAGCTCTGTGCAGCCATGAATGCTAAATGAAAAGAAACTTTGCCTGGAATTCGAAAATTAGTTATTAATTTGCATATTGAACGTGGAAAATCTATTGGAGAAACTACTGAAACAGTTAACTTCAGTCATACAACAGTTTTCAATATCATTAAACGATATAAAAAGAATCATATGATTCAGGATAAAAGAAGACCTGGCCGACCAATCAAAGCTATCCAATGGAATAAAGCGAATTATCGTTCGAAATATTTAAAAAAAAATCCAAGAATGAGTGCTCCTAAAGTTGCTGCTGATTTACAAGTATTATATGGAGTAATTGTTAATTCTGAGACTATTAGAAGAGTAATTCGATCTACTGGATATCACGGTACAGCAGCCAGGAAAAAATTCTTCGTAAGTGAAAAGAATAGAAAACTCAGATTGGCTTTCGCAAAATCCAACATAAATAAGAATTCTGATTACTGGAATGAAGTTATATTTGCTGACGAGAGTAAATTTAATATATTTGGTTCTGACGGTAGAATTCTTGGTGTGGAGAAACCCTGGGAAGAATTTCGCAAGCAGAACTTTGGTGCCAACAGTAAAACATGGTGGAGGAGGAGTTATGGTATGGGGTGAATGTCGTCCGCTGGAGTTGGTAATCTTGTTTTTTATGGGACAGTATAATGGATCAGTACAAGTATATTGACATTTTAAATCAAAAATTTGAAATCTTCAGCACGAAAATTGAACCTTCATAACGATTTTAAATTCTACGAGGACAATGACCCAAGCACAGTGCTTTGAACGTTAGACTCTAACTGCTGTATAAACTGTCCTGAAATAATTAAAACACCCCCACAATCTCCACAATTAAATCCCATAGAGAATATTTGGCAAGAATTGGAATCAAGAATTCGCAAACACACCATTCTTCAAAACACCAATTAAAATCGGTGCTTCAAGAAGAATGGGGTAAAATCAATCAGAAATCACAAAAAAATTAGTCGAATGCATCCCAAGAAGATTAAATCATGTTTTAAAAGTAAAAGGAAATCCAACAAAATATTAAAACCTTTTAAAAGTAAAATTTTTGGATAAATATTGATGGAAAAGTAAGTTCCCATCACTTAAGTGAGCCATTTTCTGCTCCGTTCTAACAATTGTATTTTTATTAAATTAATATTTAATATTTTGAGAAAATGTATGTTATGTAATAATTGTTACTAAATTTAAGTATGAAACACACCCACAGCATATTTTACATGTTTTTTAAATTTATTTTATTGCAGTTTCCTTTTGAAAAGCACAAGTGTCCCATCACTTTTTTGAGACACTGTATGTATAAACTCAATAATTATTAGTCAAAGGCTTCCTTAAAAGATTTCAAAATCAAAGTTTAAAAGCTAAGAGACTATCTGTGGAATAGGTGCAGGTTAAAAAAAATACAATTAAAAAAATTGTTGTAGTTTAAATGCAAGTTTACAATACCTATCGCATGACGGTCCTAACAATATTTTACCACGAAGAAAGTCAAATACAAAGGCAGTGCACGAAAAATTAAAAATTAAATGGAGTTTTAGTTCAATTTACATCACCAGAATTACGTAAGAGTAATATGACATAGATTTTTCTTGAAATGACGCAGTGCAAATAGATGGTGCTATTTTTAGAATAGAGAAGGGAAATTAATTGACGCTGCTAATTTAATCTTTTACATATTCTTTATTTTTCTTACATATATATAGTTAATCCTTATTTATGTGGTACAACTTTTAAAAAGTTTAAAAAGGCCTCTGGTATAATTTAAAAACTTTGTCAGGGGGGCTATAATAAGGCCTACGTTCAAAAGTACCAACTTGAGCACTTGTCACACGCCCAATGCTCATGCATTAATCCAGACTATGATTTATTAGGTCTACCATTTCTTTTGTGATCATCGTGACAAATGTTACAATTCTGTTCACTATCTCCTTCCTATGAGTTGCGTGGCAGTATCAGACCATAAACTTGATCTTTAATGTAGGTACATGTGAATAAATCTCGAGGAATGTGAATAAATCTCATTCAGACCATCCAGGTAGGCTTTCTATCATCATAAACATCTCTCTTTCTCCAGCATGTCTGATCTATTGATTATGCATTTACATTTTCTAGTTTGCTGTACTATTTTTTTATTCAGACACTGTGAATATGATTTGGACAATTGTTTTCTTTTGGTATAATAAATTTCTGAGAGTGTTTGTGTTATTTGTAAACACACTGTGCTATTTCCTAATAGTTAGGATAATTTTGCGTGTATGAATATTTAAATCACAATAAATGAAAATTCATACTTCGAAGTGATATCGCTTTATTTCTTACATGATTTATTTAATTATTTGATTGAATTGTATTAAAATAAGTTAAAAATATATTTATTTGCATTAGTTAGGAAAAGTGAACTTCTGTTTTAATTCTGAAGAAATAAGAAATTATTAAAGCACATCAAAATTAATTCTGAAGAAAATAAGAAATTATTAAAGCACATCAAAATTAATCTTGAAGAAAATAAGGAATTATTAAAGCACATCAAAATTAATTCCAAAGGAAATAAGAAAGAATTAAAGCACATCAAAATTAATCTCGAAAAAAGTAACGAATTATTAAAGCACATCAAAATTAATTCCGAAAAAAATACGAAATCATTAAAGCACATCAAAATTAATCTCGCAGAAAAGAAGAAATTTTTAAAGTACATCAAAATTAATCTCGAAGAAAAGGAGACATTTTTAAAACACGTCAAAATTAATCCTGAAGAAAATATGAAATTATTTATACACACCGAAATTAATCTCGAAGAAAATAAGAAATTTCATCAAGATTTTTATCTTCTCTTTTACCGAGCATCACTACAGTTTACAAACATCCAAAACTAACCTTCAACATCTCCATCCGCCTGGAAAGTAAAAGCTTTATTTCCAATTCGAATACGGTTGTGCATGATATAAGGACCATCCAGTTTCAGATCTTTGCATAGTTTAGCTAAGATTTGAGATGGCTTGAAAGGATCCCTCCACTGGTTAGGACCGGATCTAAAATTGAAATGTGTATAACATGTTCAATTTACACGTGAAATAAGTTTTAAAGAAATACTAATTACTGCACGGTGTATTTTGAAAGAAAAACTAAAACAAACAAACAAACAAACAAACAAAAACAAAAAAAAAAAAAAAAAAAAAAAAAAAAAAAAAAAAAAAAAAAAAACCAAGCAAACCTCAAACATATTGCCCTTTATTAAAAGCAATTAAAGGAAATTTTGATATATTATTGGTAATCATATATTAATCAAAGACATGACGCAATTTTTCTGTTCTTCAAAGGTCCTTTTTACTTCCTTCTACGAAGCATAAGAAGTATTGTGATCATGAAAAATTCCGGGTATCATATTTCAACGAAAACATCCATTTTGACCACTATCGAATGAAATTTAACGATGTTTTTGTGTGACATCTGTACATAAAGAGCAGAATAAAGAACTCTTTTCCCCTCCAAACGGATTATAAATTGATTTAAAATGGATCGTGATGTCTGTATGTACGTACGTATGTATGTATCTCGTATAACTCAAATACGAGTAGTCTCAGTTGAAATTTGGTATATACGACTGCTATAATATGCAGTTGTCCATCTCTCTTTTGCTTGCAATCGGCCGCACCAAAAATATATAAATATAAATATAAATATGAATATAAATATGTATATATATATATATATATATATATATATAGTAACAGAGTAAGAGTGGGTACATTATATATATATATATATATATATAATGTACCCACCTGTTACTCGGGTTCGTGAGCTCAGTTTTTTTAATTCTTATATGTTGGTAAATTGTGCATTTTTTGCTTTAAAAATGGTTGAATTATGTTGTTTTTTCTTCCGGTTCAAGTTTTTATGCCTTTAATTAATCTGCATGCAATAGTTGTAGAATTAACAACAATTTAAAATTTGCTTAAGTGCGGCTAAGCCTAATTTTGTTTTACTATAGCAGTCATATTTGTTTACATTTGAAACTTAGTAGAATAGTGAATTAAGTCAGTCAGTTTAGTGTCTTTTCCGTGTGGGACTAAAAGTAAGCTTTCAGTTTTGTGCAGCGACAAATCTGCCACCTTATCCTCTGGTCGAATTGCTTGTTTTTGCCTAGAAACTCCAATTTTAATTGCACGAATTGTTTTGTTTTTACTAATTTTTTAACTGTATTTGTTGTTTTATATTTTTCCATATTTTTCAATTTTTAGTAAAGATATTTTGAGGTTTTATGTATTTTTGCATGGCCTCGAAATGAGAACTGAACTAATTGAATGTGAAATACATCTAATGAAATTCGAGGAAATAAATTTAAATGAAATGCAGCAAAAAATGCATTAATATTCCGTGCAATTAAGTCATGTGGTGTCGACATCAGTTATATATATATATATATATATATATATATATATATATATATAGTACAATGATCAGTTAATCATACATTGTCCGTTTGGTTCGATAACTTTTACTTTCTTTTAATGAGCTTCGTACTTCCTCATTCACAGAAGAACCTAGCTTTATCAGCGAAAAGGTGAACAAGGTGCTGATTTACAGCCTCATCTGTATTGAACGTTTTACAGCGAAGGAAATTTTGAAGAGAGCGACATAAGTGAAAGTCTGATAGCACGAGATCAGAGACAAGTATGATAAGCGTATCTTCCAGAAACTTCCACAGCTCATTAATTTGTACAGGAAACTGCACTTTATTCCTGTATCCAACAGGGAGGAACAGTCAAAATGACCACTCGCCGTAATTCTAGATATGTACAATTATATATAAAAATAATAATTTAAAACTTCCCAAATAAATCATTTTGTCGTTTTGGTATACATGTAGGAAAAGTAAAATCAAAATATTTAAAAAGAAAATTAAAGAAATAGCGGTCGAAACCACCGCTCCCGTAATTTGAGCGTTGAAACTCAATAAATGTTCTTGGTGAAAATATTAGATATATTTAAAAATATGTGAAGTTTTTTTTTTATTTATTTTTTTTTTTTTTAATTTTTTTTAGCTATCATGAACTGGAGCCAAATTTTCCATAGACTGAAGCGAATTATCGGTAAGTCTAAAAATCAACATCAGAGTCATGAGAAGGTTTTAAAACAAACCTCATTATTAAATCAGAACTGGAAAACAAATGCATTACTCGTGCTTACAATTCGGTGTACCAATTGTGGCGATATAACTTAAAGTAACAGTACAGTACGTTCAAATTTTAAATTAAGCTAGTATTCAAAGGCTATACAATTCAATTTAACGCGAAGTTGGCTCACACATCTAACCGGCATAGACATTTAAATATCGGCAATTACAAAGCAAGGCCGAGACTACAAAATCCCATTTTAGTTTACAGCAACTTAGTAACGTGGCGTCGAGAAGCAGAACACGCTGTAAATCAAACTGCTGAAATCTTCCTTTAAATACTATATTATTCTCTCTCATTTACATTCTGGTAAGGAAATAGGAACGAGAAGGGATGCTGTTGTTGTTTTTGGGACTTATCCCCTCACTTTGTCTGACTGTAGCGCGAGAACAAGCCCACGAAATTCATCATGGCAATTTGCGCAACATTGCGCCTGTCTTTGGCAAGAACCTTGAGCACCGCACAGGCGATAGTACGACTTTACTCATTTCCGCCCCCAGTTTTGAAGAAGAGCACCGCGGGGAGGACAGGTTCGAGAGTCTCCAACCCCTCTCGAGAGGAATTTCGGCTAGTAGCATATTTAGAGTGCCCTTCCCCATGCTGCACAGACACTATACATTTACAAACATCCACGTTTTCTTCAGGATTCGAACCTGGGATCAGTTAGCATAGCTAACCACTGTCCCGCTTGTACGACGGAAGTGAGAATAAAGATCCAAAACATAAAATAACTGATTAATGGAAATTAATATTAATATTCTACAAGGTCATTTGTAATACTTTCGATAATGTATAATTTATTTCCATTTTTAGTCTTTCTATCATAGAAATGCAGTCAAAAGTAGTGTAAAATGAAACGAATGTTTTAATTTAGCCAAAGAAACAAACATTAAAAATTGAAAACACTAAAAAAGCAAGACTAGAATTTAATTTATAAATTATATTCCAGCATTTAAATGAAATACAAAGATTGTAGATAAAAATTAAGATTATAAATTTAAAAGTAAGGAAAAAATTAAATTTGCAATTATGAAAAAGCGTATAATTACGTCTCGTATTTCTGTGCTAAGCCACATGTAGGCCTATGCCTGCTGTAGAACCTGTTTTCAAGGTCGACTTTAGTCTCTCCAATCAAATCATCCGAACCTAGGAGGTCCCAGTCGTAGATTTGGACATTGAGCAAGGAATCTTGGGGAAAGGTAGCTTCGAATTCAAAACATCTAAAGTAAACAAATAAAAAAATATGAAAATTATCACAACGTGCTTGCTCACAGACATTGCATGAAGCATTTCTGTAGATAATTTCCTCGTAAACTAAACTAGTTAAAGATATAGGTTTCGAAGTTTTGTGAACTGCAAACTTTTAAAATTGAATTCAGAAAGATTAATATTTTTGCCAACGTATTTCAACTACGGACATTGTCAGTGATAATGATATTCTTTCTGTGAAAAACTCTTTCAAGTACTTGGGAGTGATCATCGACAATCGGCCAGATTTCATACAGCATATCACTGCTACTTTAAACAAAGCAAACGAAGCCTATATGTCCTTTTATAATCTCACCTAATTCGCTCAGTACTTTTACATGAAGTTCCTGCCTAGGCAACTTCGGAAAAAATTTTCGCAAAAAATCAGAAATTTTCCAAAATAAAATCCTCCTTACTATAGTTAACGCTCTTTGGTACGTGAAAAATTCTCAGACACACATCGAATTAAAAGTCCGAACTTTTTCATTTCACATTCTCACTAGAGAGCATAATTTCTTCAGCAAAATGAAGAACTCACAGCATTATACAAATTATTCTACGGTCAAAAAACCCGAGAACTATTTACCATAATGCCTATTGGTAATTTTGTACACATCCTGTATATTTTTCATTCTGCTTAAGAATCAGTTTATTCTAGATCGCATTTATTTAGAATTTCGCATACTATGATGATCTTTGTGCAGTAGAAGAGCACTTCTCTACAAACCTTAAGGTTAGGAGTTCTGTATTTGATTCCGAGAACTTTAAGTTTCGATTATTATTCTGTAAACATTTTCGCATTATACCTATGTTTTATTAGCCCAAAGGTGCAATTTGCCCAGAACGGCTATTAATTTCGTTTTGGTATTTTGCGTTGGTTCACTATAAACGGCGTTTCACTTTTCAAATTGTTGCTAACAAATATTAGAGCCCTGCATTATATTTAAACAAGTTAAATAATGAAGAATCTGCATGAATCCATGTATGTTTCTGTTACTGTGAGAAAACAAAGGCACCTAGAGACACCACATTTGGAATAACGTAGACCTCCACTCGAATATGGGCATCTGGAAGCTCAAATTTCAAATTTGGAATTTGTTTTATTATCGATTTCATATTTTGTAAAATATTCACTAATTTCAGATTAACAAACTTGACGATTTTAAAGCGAGCAATGGCAAAATGGAACCGGGAAAAAAAAAAAAAAAAAAAAAAAGAAAGGCTCAATCGCGCGACGCTGTGTATCGAAAATTCTAAAAACATGCTGTATTTAAATTGGTTTATGATATTGCTTTTGAATTGAATTTTATGGCTTAAGTGCGAAGAACATGATATTTATACATAAAGGTAACACACAAAACATTAAAAAAAAGGCCCTTTGGACATTAATGTAAAATCTGAAAGCCGTCAGATTAAAATATATATATATATAATTTTTTTCTTTTTGCACTGAATTACATCCTCAAGTGCAGTATTACTACTTTCACGCCAATAGAGGGCGGCACTAGCAATCTCAAGATTTCATTCTCTGCATTGCATTCTCTGACAATGTCTTGTCTTACGACCTTCTCTTTTCCTCCATTCGGATGACTGTGGGAGTGCATACAATTTTTACTTCCTTGTAGAATTAAAAAGGAGTATTGTAATCGCGAAAGCTTCAGCAGCATATTTCAACGAAAATATCCACTTTGACCCGCTTCGAATGCAATTTAACGATGTTTTTGCGTGATATCTGTACGTAAGGACAGAATAAAGACTCTTTTCCTCCAAAACAAAATACTGCTTAAAATGAATTCTTAAGAGAATTTTTCGTGGCGTCTGTACGAACGTACGTACGTATCTCGCATAACTCAAAAACGAGTAGCCTCACATTGAAATTTTGTATATAGGACTACTATAACATGTAGATGTGCACCCGTATTTTGTTTTCAATCGGCCGCGCCAAACGTATATAAATATATTTATAAATATTACTCTGTTACCGGCTCAGTGATCTCAGTTTCTTTACTCTTATATGTTTGTAAATTGTATACTTTTTTTCTTTAGAATGATTGAATTATGTTGTTTTTATCTTCCGGTTAAGGTTTTTATGCCTAGTAAATCTGTAGCATATTTTTTGAATTATCAAAATTTAAAAGTTGTTAAGTGCCGCCTAGCCCTATTTTGATGGCGGCATTGCTTGTTTACATTTGAAACATCAGAGTAGTGAATTTGTTGCCAATCTAAGAAACGTAGCTTCGCACAACAAGATAAACGCCTTCATTTATTATTGCGATTTAAATCATGCTTAATCCTTTCTGAATTTTTTTTAGGAAATAAGTGTTTAAGATTTACTTAATTTTTAATAATTAGTAATTTAATTTTTAATGATTAGTAATTTTTTATAGAGATATTTGAGTTTTATGTATTTTTGCTTGTCGCGAAGGAGAACTGAATTAATTGAATTAGAAATACTCAATCGTCTTGTGAAAAACTGTTTCTTTTTTTTTGTTTGCTTAATTTCATTTATACAATCGTTCTAGCTTTATTATAGTATTGAATAGAACATGTGGCAACGATTAGATAATTCTTTAAATGATACAAATTTTGTGCATTCTGAGTTATAAGATGAACGAAATATAATACTGTTAAGGGAACCTAGTGCCAGAGTGCCGCTATGGTAAACAAATAGAGTGAATTTAAAAAAATGCACTTATTCTATTGTGGTTTATGCGCTGTCGGCGAAGTAGATTTAATTAAATCCAATAAGTTTAAACAAAATGCAAGAAAAAATGCGTATAATTTAATATTCCGTACATGGAAGTGATGTGTTGTATACATCAGATTTTTTAGATACCGCGAAAGGCCCTAGGGCACCATTATAATGGACTGGTTAATACATCTAAATATAGAAGCCAGTTCCAGGTTCTATATTTTAACTGTATAATTCATCAGAACTCTGATATTATTATGTATTTAGCTGCTTTGATACTCATTAAATAACAGCTATAATTCATGAATAATTTAGTTTTTCTAGAAAGAAAGATACAACTTTTACTGCTTGTTAATTATCATTAATTATTCAATCACCATCATCTTAGCTTTATTATGAAAGCAACCAACAACAGAAACTAATTAAAATTAATATAAATATAGATATAAACATCTTAGTTACCATGACAATTGAATTAAACAATTGAACAATTTCAAGATAAAACTTGTAGGAAATTTTCTCTTCTGATTTCCTATTGGGAATTTATTTGAAGAACTACTTGCTTGAATTGCTCTAGTAGCATTATATTATTGAGCCGAATACATCGCGCTGTATCTTGGGGATAGTTGAATAAATAAATATGTTCCTTGCCGAAACACATTAGTTATAAATCGGCAGGTCTGGAGTTCGAATAATGGCGACAGAATTGCTGACGTTTTTGGTTTCCTGCTTTGAAATAAATCAAATAGCTCTACAAGTGGCACCCGAAATAAAATCTGGTAAACGATAATTAGCCACTACCTGAATTTGGTGACTGAGTGCAGTCGCCTTTTTAGGGAGATAAATGTAAAGAATTCTCTGTTTTCTAATTTTGATGCTTTTATAGCATATATGTACCTTCAGGAATATGGAATCGCTAAGAAAGAGAATATTATTTAAAATACAGAAATGAATTATAAAATTTGATTTTATACTATCAGTAATAAATTATAAATATATACATCTACTATTATAACTAATGTGTTTTTAGTTATAATTCACATTAGTTATAATTACTAATTATAACTAATGTGTTATTATAACTAATGCATTATAACTAAATGCCGTTTTATAACTAATGTGTTTCGGCAAGGAACATATTTATTTATTCAACTATCCCCAAGATTATCGCATACAGCGCGACGTATTCGGCTCAATAATATAATGCTACTGGTGCAATTCAAGCAAGTAGTTCTTCAAATAAATTCCCAAAAGGAAATTAGAAGAGAAAATTTCCTACAACTTTTATCTTGAAATTGTTCAACTGTTTAATTCAATTGTCATGGTAACTAAGATGTTTATATCTATAAATTAATTTCCAATAATCAGTTTTTTACTTACCAGTAATACACTTCATAATAAAAAAATCGACGCACCAAGAAGGAATCATCCGATTGCTTTGAAATTTCGTATGCATAAATGTTTCGACCAAATCTGCAAATGATTAAAATTTCATGTCCAATGAATGAATAGTGCGATCCCCAGCGCATCCAGTAGATGTATATAAGGAGCTATTCTTGAACTGTTGTTAAAAATTTTGGTTGCATTGCTATTTAGGATACCTTTCAACGACTAAAAAATGCCTCTCCGCAGGATTCGAGCTCATTATGAGCAACTGAAAGAGTATGAAAGATGTCATATCATTGGATTGAATCTTTGGAGGTAGGTCAAGCAAATCGGAGAATCGCTCGTCAAATGAGTCGATGCGATGCGGCGATTAGAAGATGCTGGCAAGAATGGATAGACAACGGCAGATTTCAGCGTCATGATAGTAGCGGTCGACTTAGGTCCAAAACAGATCGAGAGGACAGAGTGATTATCAAATCAGCTGTCACAGCGCTTGATTCATAGCTATCAACCATCAGACGTGCGACCCGCACACAAGTGTCCACCATGACCATTCACAAACGGCTGATACAGCGAAATCTACGCTCGTACCGACCGTTACATCACCTACCACTCACGCCTGTACACACTGTCGAGCCAGATTACAGTGGTGCTTGGCTCGATTAGGTTGGAATGATGCTGGGAACGTACAGTCTTTAGCTACGAATCCCGCTTCCAACTGTGTGGGGACGATCATCGAAGGCGTGTCTGGAGACGCCCCAAAGCAACGTGCTGATCCTGCTTTCACTATTGCATACCACACAAGCCCTCAACCAGGAGTTATGGTCTGGCATGACATTTCCCTTGATAGACGGATCCCTTTGCTCGTCATTAGAGGCACACTTACAGCACAGC